CACACAGGATGGAATGCAGTGTAGCAATCTCCTTGGCTCACTGCAACCTCTATCTCCCAGGTTGATGCGATTATCTTGCCTCAGCCTCCTGAGTAGCTGGGATTACAGGCGCCCTGCCTAATTTGTGTGTGTGTGTGTGTGTGTGTGTGTGTGTGTGTGTGTGTGTGTATTTTTAGTAGAGATGGAGTTTCACCATGTTGGCCAGGCTGGTCTCGAACTCCTGACCTCAGACAATCTGCCTGCCTCGATCTCCCAAAGTGCTAGGATTATAGGCGTGAACCACAGCACCTGGCCCAAATTTGGTACATTTTACAAAACAATGTCATAAATTTGCCATTGTTCAAAATGTCGATGTCATGAAAGACAAAGAAAGGCTTATAAGATCTGTTCCAGATCAAAAGAAACTAAAAAGTCATGACAAATAAATTCAATACATGATCCTGGGCTCGATACTGTATCAGGAGAAAAAAAAATTTCCACTGAAGAACATTTTGGGGATAATTAATGAAACTGGAATATGGACGGCATTAAATTTCCTAAATTTGAATAACAGTATGCTTATGTACACTTTTCAAACTTAATACTTCAGTGGGAAACTGAAAAATTATATCTTGACTAGATATTATAAAATTGAAGAATAAAAGAACTGTATATAAATGCTATAATCTAGTTAGTAAAAGCGTTTCTCAAATAGACATGGGTTAGCAATTCTGAAACCATGTGTATACTACATTTAAACAAATAAATAATATTAAGTTTAAACTATTAAGGCATAGAAGAATACAATGTATGTGATCTAATCTCAAATGATTTAGTATACGGCAATTAATATATAAATACAGATATATAAAATACATATACATATATGGATAGACAGAAAGAAAATGGTAAGGCACATGTAGCAAATGCTAAGTAAATCTAGCAAAGGGTATATAGGATTTCCTGGTACTATTCTTGCATCACTATTTTCTGTCAGTTTGAAGTTACTTCAGTACAAAAAGTTTAGTCTGGATCCTTGAATTAACATGGCAGAAAATTGCCTACACAACCAGAAATGCCCATATTGGGAAGAAAAGCATCTGTTGTGTGAAGCTCCTGAAAGTTGAGGGACACAGCTGCTAGCATTACATTAACCAATACAATAGGATTTCAATATAATTGATCTTTGCTTCTTGTAGGGCCATAGCTTTATTTCCCTTAATCAAATATTTGCCACAAATACTCCATGATACAGAGTGATCTGCCAAAGAATGAAAAAATTAATAGACAAAAATTTGAGGATAAATAGGATATCTGCATAGTCTCAAAGCATCTCCCTCAAGGTATTTTAATCACAAAGAGAAAAGGTAATAATTTTACCATAGAGAAACCCTGTAGACAGCAACTTAAACAAAGAATCAAGGTACATGTCACCACTAACAAGACACATCAACATCATGAACTCCTTGTTGTGATGCACTGAAAAATATGCATTATCATATTCTTGCCAAAAGTACACAGCCTTATTCATAAGAAAACATCAGACAAATCCAAATTGAGGAACATTCTACAAAATACTGATCTGTACTCTTAAAAGATTCATTAAAGATTAAGAAACTATTACAAACTGGATGAGACTAAGGAGAAATAACAACTAAATGCAATATGGGATCCCAGATAGGATCCTAGAAGAGAAATAAACCACCAGTGGAAAAACTGATGGAACTCAAATAAGGTCTGTAATTTAGCTAATAATACTGTACCAAGATTAATTTCCTATTCTTGATCCCTTATACAAAATGTTAACATTAAGGGAGCAGGGTGAGGAATATAAGGGAACACTACTATTTTTTGTAACTTTTCCATAAGCTGATCCCTTGAGTGATTGAATGAATATTCCTACTAGATTGATGTACAGGTTAACCTCCACTCCTACTCAAAACTCCACTTATAAACAATAAAAATTGGCTTGTAGGTCCTACAAGCACAATAGAAAGGAAAAAGAGAACAAAATTAAAGTGACTATGAAACAGATGGACATAGAGTGACTACAGGAAGAAGGTTAATTTATACAACAGACTCTGGGAAAGGACCCAGCTCCTTCTGAGGTGTAGACAGAGCTGGAAGCAGGAAGATAAGCATATTTCAAAGCTCATACACCAGTATCTTAGGTGACAATAAAAAATGCCAAATAAGATATGACACAGTACTCTATCACTTAGCATTTATCTTAGGCTTATTAAAGGAGCTCTTTTAGACTTTTCGTATATCATTCATATACACATAGAAAGGAAAATAAGCAAAATTAACTGCTGAAGGCTTTCCTAAAAATTCTTCACATTGAGAATTTAATGTCTGTCCATGTTTTTGACTCAGAGTGGTCAATGTCCAGAGTTTTCTACAGTGTTGTCTTCTATGCCATCAACAGCATTTGGTGATATAGCATTTCTTAAAAGAATCCATAAAAAAAAACTGGAACCATCAGTACTCAACTTTGAAATTATGTAAAGCTAGCCTATTTTTGACTGCCACTTTGGGATGTCTGGTAAATACTGAAGGAGCATCCAACTTAGCACCTCTCTCACTCCCCCACCTTCTAGCTATTTGGTTCCTATGAGTCTCTAACAGCCCCACTCTAGTATCCAATATATTTTCTCAAGCAACTTACACCCAGTCTGCAAGTTTTGATGCATGTAAGACATCATCAATTGGGAAACATTTTAATTTTAGATTGGGGAGGAAAAGTCTGCCTCAAAAATAGATTAAACAAATCAAGACAGTGTGATACTGGTACAGTCTAGATATAAACCCTTACATTTATATAAGGTCAATTGATTTTGCACAAGGGTTTCAAAACAATTCATTGGGAAAAGAATAGTTTGTTCAATAAATGGTGCTAAGACAAGTGGATATCCATATACAAAAGTATCTAGTTGAACCCCTACCTCACACCACATACAAAAATTAACTCAAAATTAATCAAAGACCAACATATAGAAGCTAAAACTATAAAACTCTTAGAAGAAAACATAAGGGAAATCTTTGTGATCTTAGATTAGGCAATGGTTTCTTAAATATGACACCAAAAACACAAGTGACAATAGAAAACAATAAACTGAACTTCAACAAAATTAAAAGCTTTCATGCTTCAAAGGATACCATCAAGAAAGTAAAAAGACAGTCTACAAAATGGAAGAAAAATATGGCAAGTCATTTATCTGACAGAGGACTAAAATATGTATTATATGTATTGACTCCAGAATATATAAAGAACTCTTACAATTTAATATTTTATAAAGACAAATAGCCCAATTTAAAATGGACAAAGGATCTAAACAGACATTTCTCTAAAGAAGACATGAGTGGCCAATAAGCACATGAAAAGACATGCAACATTATTAGTCATCAGGGAAATACCAATTAAAACCACAATGAGATAGCATTACACACGAATATACATACTATATTTCATTTCTATGAAATGTCTGGAATAGACAAATCCGTAGGCAAAAAGTAGATCCATCGCTGTCTAGGAATGGTTGAACTGGGGGTGAATGCAGTGAGTATGGGGTTTCTTTTTCAGGTAACAAAAATATTCTGGGAATAGTGGTAATGTTGCACAATTCTGTGAATATACTAAAACCACTGAATTGTACACTTTAAATGAGTGAGTACATGGTATGTGAATTACAACTCAATAATGCTGTTACTTTAAAAAGTGGGAAAACAGGCTGGGCGCAGTGGCTCACGCCTGTAATCCCAGCACTTTGGGAGGCCAAGACAGGCAGATTACTTGAGGTCAGGAGTTTGAGACTAACCTGGCCAACGTGGTGAAACCCCAATTCTACTAAATATACAAAAGCTTAGCTAGATGTGGTGATGCATGCCTGTAGTCCCAGCTACTCAGGAGGCTGAGACAGGAGAATTGCTTGATCCCAGGAGGCGAGGTTGTAGTGAGCCGAGATCAGGCCACTGCACTCCAGCCTGGGTGAAAGAGCGAGACTTCGTCAAGAAAAAAAAAGTAGGAAAACAAGAGGCAAAGGAGAAAACCTTTTTAAAAAATTGCAAGAATGTTCCAAAGTTGATTATGGTAAGTGTATTAAAGATGCAATCTTAATCGTAGCAAGATTTTTTTTTTTTTTTTTTGAGACAGAGTCACGCTCTGTTGCCAGATGCCAGGCTGGAGTGCAATGGTGCAACCTCGGCTCACTGCAACCTCTGCCTCCTGGGTTCAAGCAATTCTCCTGCCTCAGCCTCCTGAATAGCTGGGACTACAGGTGTGTGCCACCAATCCCAGCTAATTTTTGTATTTTAGTAGAGACGGGGTTTCACCATCTTGGCCAGAATGGTCTCAATCTCTTGACCTTGTGATTCACCCAGCGTTAGCCACCACACCCGGCCTCATATGCAAGATTTATTAAAGTAAAATATTACAATAAGTCCAGGTGGCTTAGTTCAGATTATTAAACTGTCAATATGTATATGTTGGCTGAAAGCCCAAAAGTAGAAAGCAATATAGTTAAAAATAAATAAAGGGTTATAATTACTAGGGAATATAATTCCTGATCTAGCAAAGGAAACACACTAACTAATAAAATGATAAAATTCATTACTCTCCCTTATTTGGTAAGGGTTATGATTGTTATAAAAACCAATATGGGTCCCAGCTACTCGGGAGGCTGAGGCAGGAGAATTGCTTGAACCCAGAAGGCAGAGGTTGCGGTGAGCTGAGATCGTGCCATTGCATTCCAGTCTGGGTGACAACAGTGAAACTCCGTCTCAAAAAAAAAACCAATATGGGTATGGAAAGAGCTGAAATTAAGTATATTTGAGATATGCCATAGTACATGAAACCAAGCTTATACAAGATAAACATTTAGTGGGAGAAAGAAAAATATATTGCATGCCAAAAGAAAATTCATATACATATGAGCCTGTACATAAATCCAATCTGTACATATATATATATATATATATATATATATATATATATATATATATAACACAGATGCATGCCTGTAGTCCCAGCTACTCAGGAGGCCAAGGCAGGAGAATTGCTTGAACCTGAGAGGCAGAGGCTGCAGTGAGCCAAGATCATGCCACTACACTCCATACATATATATACACAGATTCAACTTATGTACAGGTATATATTTTTGAGACAGAGAATCACTCTGTCACCCAGGCTGGAGTGCAGTGGCACGAACCTGGCTCACTGCAACCTCCACCTCCCGGGTTCAAGCAATTCTCTGCCTCAGCCTCCCAAGTAACCAGGATTACAGGCACCCACCACCGTACCTGGCTAATTTTTTTGTATTTTTAGTAGAGACGGGGTTTCACCATCTTGGCCAAGCTGGTCTTGAACTCCTGACCCCATAATCCATCCTCCTTGGCCTCCCAAAGTGCAGGGATTACAGGCATGAGCCACTGTGCCCAGCCCATGTATATACTTTTTTTGAGACAGGGTCTCACTCTGTCACCCAGGTTATAGTGCAATGGTGTGATCATGTCTTACTGCAGCCTTGACCTCCCAGGCTCAAGCAATCCTCCCACTTTGGCTTCCCAAGTAGCTGGGACCACCAGCGTGCACCATCACACCTGGCTAATTTTTGTAGAGATAGGTCTCACAGTATTGCTCAGGCTGGTCTTGAACTCTGGCTCAAGTGATCCTCCAACCTTGGCATCTCAAAACGCTGGGATTACAGGCGTAAGCTACCATACCTGGCTAATCTGCTTTTACTATTGAGGACCATCTCCCATTCTAGATGTAGAAGAATATAGAAAAGAGATTGGCAAACTTTTTCTTAGGGTCTGGGGCCTATATGGTCTCTATTACAACTGCTCAACTCTGCCACTTTAATTTGAAAGCACCATAAGCAATATGTAAACAAAGGAGTGTGGCTGTGTTCCTATAAAACTGTTTATGGAAACTGAAATTTAAATTTCATGTAATTTTCACATGTCACAAATTATTCTTTTTATTTGTTCCCAACCATTTAAAAATGCAGAAACCATTCTTAGCTTATAAAACATACAAAAAATGGATGGCAGGATGGATTTGGCCTACAGGCCAAATTATGTCAACTCCTAATAGAAGAATGCTTTCAATATGAAGAACACTTCAACATACTGGTAAGCAAGTCTTCCAATACACAAGAATACTGACAGAAGAATGCTTTCAATATGAACAACACTTCGACATATTAGTAAGCAAGTCTTCCAATACACAAGAATACTTACTCACTAGAAACAGAAAGGCATGCTAAAAAGTATGCCTTATCTGGGAAATAATCACAAAAACTGTCAAGAATGTTTACAGAAATTAAATGAGTTAATACATAAAAAGTTCTAAAACTAGTATTTGATACCCAGCAAACCACCCAACACTTTCTTCTGATAGTATTAGTAGCAAGATATCCATACTGATATTGACTCCAACAGAAAAAACAAAGGCAATGGTTCCATTTCTGCTTCAGAATTGAAGCTGCAGATTAGACATCCCTAATCTGAAATCCAAAATGCTCCAAAATGTGAATGTTTCTGAGTGCTAACATGAGGTCACAAATGAAAAAATCTGCACCTGACCTCATGTGACAGGTCATAGTCAAAACACAGTTGAAACTTTGTTCCATGTACAAACTTACTTAAAATATTGTATAAAATTACCTTTAGGCTATGTCTATAAGGTATATATAAAACATTAATGAATATTTTGTTTAGACTTGTGTCCCATCCCCAAGATATCTCATTATGTAAATGCAAATATTCCAAAGTCTGAAAAAATCCAAAATCCAAAACACTTCTGGTCTCAAGCATTTCAGATATGGGTTACTCAAACTGTATTACTTTTAAGTCTAAAATTTCCAGCTGCAGTATTTTCTTAAGAGGGTCTCAAATTCTGAAAGCTAGAGTAAATTTCATTTCAGTAGCAGGAAGCTGTTATTTATTCATTACAATTAAATCAATACTCATTTCGATAAGACAAATTTCTAGAAGAAAGCTGAGAGGATGATGACAAAACGTTTGAGAGTTACTGCTCTAAGAAATTGCCCAAAGGATTTTTCAAAGGAAAAATTAAGATCTGGGTCAGATTCTATCCTTGGCTACATGTATGAGGTCAATACTAAAAGCAACATAAATATCTGACCTTTCCCAAGGAGTGGTTCCACCTAAGAACCTACAAGGTATTCGGATTTGATTAACAGCTAAGAACTCATCTCTTCCACCTGACTACTTCCTACTTCTTGGTTTATATGTAAGAGGTGCTTAGGAAGAACCATGTGAATGAGAAAATTATCCCTATCGGCCCCCACAGCACAACCTTGTGCTGCACACCCTGACAGAAAGAGAAGTCATTTACTTATTACAGTTGAGAGGTGGCTTCAATCATCATATTGACCTGACATGCAAAGGAAGGCTTGTAATTCAAAACAGAGCACCACTGCCTGCCTTTTCCAGATAAAATCACATTTGAGAGAGAAAAAAAAACTAATACTCATTTTAATTTCACAACTTTAAACAATGGAATGTTGGGAAACTACTCTTGACAAAGCAGCCTGCTATACATTCACCCAACCACCTGTCACTAACATCATTCCCAAACACAAAGGGCTATTTTTGTGTAGTACACTACAGAGATAGATAATATCCTATTGCCATAGCAACAAGTTTTCCAGAAGATATGCTAACCCATGAAGAATGCAAAACAGAACAAAGCTATTTCTTTGCATTTGCCTTTAAAATATATGAAGAGGATTGCAAGGTTTTTAAGGCCTGGTTTGCTCAATAGAGACTTAGCAGATTTGAGCAATGTATAAAGAAATCCTTAGGCCATTGACCACTGCCTATGAATAAAAAAGAAAATGAAAACAAATAGAACAAATCCTGAATGTATACATATATGAATACAGCTATTTTTTAATCTCTTTTTTAAGGGACAGGGTCTTGCTCTGTCACCTAGGCTGGAGTGCAGTGGCAATCACAGCTCACTGTAGCCTCGACCTCTCGGTCTCAAGCAATCCTCTTGCCTCACCCTCCTAAGTAGGTTGGATCACAGGCATGCACCACCACAAATAGCTAATTTTTAAACTTTCTTTTTGTAGAGATGGGTGTCTCACTACATTGCCCAGGCTAGTCTTGAATTCCTGGCCTCAAGTAATCCTCCTGCCTCAACCTCCCAAAATGCTGGGATTACAGGCATGAGCCACTGTGCCTGAACTGGCCCACATATAGCTATTTTTTATGGCATAAATTTAACATGTACAACATGATGTTTTGATATATATATCCATAGTGAAATGATAACTACCAGTAAGCAATCTGACCTACTCATTACCTTCCATTGTTACCTTCGTGTGGAGAAGAGGTAAGAGTACCTAAAATCCACTCTTAGCACATTTTCCATATATAATACAATATTATTATCTATTGTCCTCCTGCTGTACATTACACCTCTAGACTTATTTAGCCTACATAACTGCAAGTCTGTACCCTTTGTCTTACATCTCCCCATTTCCTCCCTTGGTGACCATAGCTCTATTCTGTTTCTATGTATTTGACTCTTTTTCAGGTTCCAGATAAGTAAGATCATGCAGGATTTTTCTTTCTGTATCTCATTTATTTTACTTAGCATAAGTTCATATATGTTGTCACAAATAGCAGGATCTCCTTTTTTAAGGCTGAATAATATTCTATCGTGTGTGTGTGTGTGTGTGTGTGTGTGTGTGTGTGTGTATGCCACAATATTTTTAGCCACTCATCAATCAACAGTCACTTAAATTGTTTCCCTATCTTGGCTATTGTGAATAATGCTACAAGGAACACAGAAGTATAGATATCTTTTTGACACACTGACTTCATTTCCTTTGGGTACATACCCAGCAGAGGAATTGCTGAATCATATGGTAGTTCTACTTTTAAATTTTTTTAACTGCCTCAGGTTTATTTGTACAAATAGTACAGGAGGACCCCAACCCCATGCAGATGGCAGCCCAGGGGTTCATACTAGCTCTTCTGTTCTCACATTGGCATACAGGGATATCTACTCCAAAGCCTTTGTAGAGGCCTGGGCATCTTTGGGAGCCTGAGCTGGAACTGAAGCTACAGCTGCAGCCTGGGCCTTGGTTTCATGCTTGGCCTTGGCCTTTCACCAGCAGAGCCTGAACCCCTTGGCAATGCAGGCATGAGTATGCTTCCCAAGCTTGGGTGGGCAATGTAGGCAAGTCAATCGAGCTTGCAGCTGACACCCTTTGGGATCTTGGGCTTAACTTCCTCTGGCTTTACGAGGACCTTGATAGCCTCGGCACATGCACTCATGGCCTTGGCATTGTTGGCCTGCATCTTCTTTAGGCCCTTCTTGGTGTGCTTCTTAGCAAAGCGCATGTTCCTCAGGAACTTGAGGTCCACCCTCTTAAGAGATTCATACCTTTGTGATCGGAGTTTCGTGATACCATTTCTGTGCCATTTTCAGGACTGGTTGTGTGTGGTGTCATTCTTCGACTTGGCCATGTCTGCATCTAAGCCGTGGCTCCCAAAGCACCTAGAACCGCAGTTCTACTTTTAATTTTTTAAGGAACTTCTATACTGTTTTCCATAATGGCTGTACCAATCTACATTCCCACCAAAAGTATAAAAGGATTCCCTTTTCTCCACACCCTAACACTCATTATCTCTTACCTTTCTAATACCCATTCTAAAAGGTGTGAGCTGATATCTCATAGTGGTTTTGATTTGCATTTCCCTGATGATTAGTGATGTTGAGTATCTTTTTATAACCTGTTGGCCATTTGTAAAGCTTCTGTGGAAAAAATGAATAATCAAGTCCTTTGCCTATTTTTTAATTGAGTTATTCATTTTCCTACTATTGAGTTCTGGAAGTTCTTTATATATTTTAGATATTAGCTCCTTATCATATATATATGGGTCACAAATATTTTCTCCAAATCCATAGGCTGCCCTTTCACTTGTAGATTGTTCCCTTTGCCATGCAGAAGCTTTTTAGTTTGATGTAAAACTTGTTTATTTTTGCTTTTGTTGCCTGTGCTTTTGGTGTGATGTCCAAAAAATCATTGCCAAGGCCAATATCAAGGAGCTTTTCCCCTATGCTTTCTTCTAGGAGTTTCATGGTTTGAGTTATTAACATTTAGGTCTTCTTTTCCTTTTTCAGGTTTTGTTGTATATTTTAAAAACAAATTCTGAGTTGATTTTTTTTATATAAGCGTCCAGTTTCATTATTTTGCCTGTGAATATCCAGTTTTCCTGATATGATTTATTGAAGAGACTATCCTTTCCCCACTGTGTCTCTTTGATGGCCTTGTCAAAAATTAGTTGACTGTATATACTTGGGTTTATTTCTGGGATCTGTTCTATTCTATTGATCTGTATGTCTGTTTTTATGCCAGGATATACTATCTTGATTTCTATTGCTTTATAATGTAGTATAATCTGAAATAAGGAAGTGAGATGCCTCTAACTTTGTTGCTCTTCCTCAAGATTCTTTTGGCTATTCTAGGTCTTTTGTCATATCATACTAATTTTAGAATTGTTTTTTCTATTTCTGTGAAAAATGCTATTTGGATTTTGATGGGGATTGCATTGAGCCTGTATATTGCTTTGGGTAGTGTGCAATTTAACACTATTAATTTTTTCAATGCATAAACATGGGATATCTTCCCATTTATTTGTGTCTTCAATTTCTTTCATCAATATTAATGTTGAATGTACAGATCTTTCACTTCCTTGGTTAAATGTACTAAGTATTTTATTATTTTTATACTATGATAAATGGGACAGTTTTCTTGATTTCTTTTTCAGATAGACTATTATTGGTGTAAAGAAATGCCCCTCATAATTTTTGTATGCTGATCTTGTATCCTGCAACTTTACTGAATTCATTTATTACTTTTAAGAGGCCTTTTGTAAAGTCTTCAGGGCTTTCTACATACAGGATCATGACATTTACAAACAGGGATAATTTTACTTCTTTTCCAGTTTAGATCCCTTTTATTTCTTTTTGTTGTGTGATAGCTCATGTTAGTACTTCCAGTGCTGTGTTGAATAAAAGTGGCAAGAGTGGGCATCCTTGCTTTGTACCAAATCTTTCCGTTTTCCCCTACTGATTATGACACTAGCTGTGGACTTTACATAAATGGTCTTTAATGTGTTGAGGAAATTTCCTTTTAAACCTATTTTGTTGAAAATGTTTATGATGAAAAGCTGTTGAACTTTGTCAAATGCCATTTCTACATGTGGCGAAATGATCATAAGTTTTTCCTCTCTTTTTTCTTTAGAGACAGGGTCTCACTCTGTTGCCCAGGTTAGAGTGCAGTGGCACAATCAGTGCTCACTGCAGCCTCAAAATCCTGGGTTCCAGTGATCCTCCTGCCTCAGCCTCCTAAGTAGCAGGACTACAGGCACATGTCACTATACCCAGCTGTTTTTTTTAATTTATTTTTTGTAGAGACAGTGTCTCACTATGTTTCCCAGGCTGGTCTTGAATTCCTGGCCTCAAACAATCCTCCCACCTCAGCTTTCCAAAGTGCTGGGATTATAGGCATGAGCCATTGCATCTTGCTTGTCTTTTATCTCTTATTTCAGTAATGTGGCATATTACACTCATTGTTTTATATACATTAAACCAATCTTGCATCTCAGGGATAAGTGCCACTTTGGTCATGGTGCATAATCTTTTTGAGGTGTTGTTAAATTTGGTCTGCTAGCATTTTATTTAGGATTTTTGCATCTATTTTCATCAGACATACTGACCTGATGTTTTCTTCTCTTATGGTATCTTTATCTGGCTTTGGGATCAAGGTGATGCTGGCCTCAAAAAAATGAGTTTGGAAGTACTCCCTCTGTTTTTTGGAAGAGTTTAAGAAGGATTAGTATTAGCTCTCCTTTGAATGTTTGGTAGAATTCAGCCATGAAGTCATCTGGTCCTGGCTTTCTTTTCAGGAGCACATATAGCTATTTTTGGGTAAGGAAAATTCCTACAGAAATCCTACCCTATAGGGAAGGAAAAAGCAAAACTAATGCTTGGCCATACCCCCAAACATTATAAAATACTCTCTTCTGCCTTGAATTTATATCCATTCCCATGGCAACCTTTCCCACCATATGTAGCTACTCCTAGCAGAATCTGCAAGAGGGTCACTCTATTGTTATATGTTTCCCAATGTCATGAATAAAGACAAACACTCCAACTCATAGAAAGCCTCACTCTGACCATAAAGTATGCATATAGGTTGGGTGCAGTGACTCACATCTGTATTCCTAGCACTTCTGGAGGTCAAAGTGAGAGAATCACTTGGGCCCAGGAGTCCAAGGCCAACCAAGGGAATATAGTGAGACCCTGTCTCAACAAAATATTTAAAAATCAGCCGAGTATGGTGATGCATGCCTGTGGTCCCAGCTACGTGGGGGGCCTGGGTGAGAGGACCACTTGAGTCCAGGAGGTAGAGGCTGCAGTGAGCTGTGATGGTGCCACTGCACTCCAGCCTGGGTGACAGAACAAGACCCTGTCTCAAAATAAAAAAAAGTATACACACATACATACCTCCATATCCAAATGCAGACAACCCCACATTCCTCAAGGCTTCCCTGGAGAATTAGGAAGAACTTCAGATGAACCAGTTACTCCTATCCAACCCTCTCTTCTTCTCGGAGGTCTATATCGCCAGGCTCTTTTTGGCACAAAAATACTTTTCTTGGTCCTACCACTGGCCATGCCCCATCCTCCTTAGGATCCAGGGTAGTGTTTCCCACTCCTACTTGTAGCCTGTGGTGGTGTTTTACTCCATTTGCCCCCTAGAACCACTCTTAGCCTTTTTCATCCACTCAGCCCAAGAGGCTAACCTCAATAAGCTTCAACACCCAGACTCTGTTGCCTCTGGCTTCTAGTTGGGTTAGTACAATGAGAGGTACTAAAGCAAATCAGAGGGCAGGAAACAGAAACTGGTTACTTCTCCCCCATCCCCTCATCCCATTAGCCCCTCTCTGGCCATAGTTCTGGCAAAGGCTATATGCTTTTATGACCATTGTTCCTGTAGAGGGAGTACCTTTCACAGCTCCAGCAACGACATTCCCTTCCTTCGCCCCTCCAGGTCTAGGGATGGCAATAGCTTCCTTCTATAGTCCCTTCATGGCTAAACATTCCTGTTTCCACTAAAACCCTTTGAGCATGCCATTTCCTGTGGGACCCTGAGTGATACACAGCCTTACCCCAATTTCCGATAGCTTCCTTGGTTTCAAGGTTTGATCAGTTATCCTTGACCCTAGACTGTCTTATGTTCTGCTTCACCATGCCACAGAAATTTCTTAGAAATGACCCAAGTCCCTTACTAAGACACATGCCCATGGAATCACGCACTTTAAGCGAGAATCCCAGCATTTACGCAGAATTGCTATGAAAGCAATAGCCTCTCCATTGAGACATTACCAGAAAATTCCCTACTTTCACATTCTTTTTTAGCCTGTCTCCTCAATCAAGACTGAGATTTAACCCATATATATACACATATATCCATATATATACATATATATACACATATATATATGGATATATGTGTATATATGTGTATATATGTGTGTATATATATATATATATGTGTGTATATATATATAAAATGAAAGGTATTTCAAGAAGTCACTTCATCTATGTGACCTTGGCCAAGTAAATGAACCTCAGTGCCTCAGCTTTTGTTTTCTTCAAAATGGGGATGACACAATAACTATCTTATGGTTTAGTTGTGAGAATTAAATGATGAACATTTTACAAATTATATGATAAAACCAAATACATGGTAATCAGTGAACAAGTGTTGGCTGCTATCATGGTTGTTATCATCATGTATGTAGAACTAAATTTTGCCCCCAGGAGGCATCTGACAATGTCTGAAAACATTTTTTGTTGTCACACCAGGAAAAGAATAGCTACTGGCATCATGTGGGTAGAGACCAGGGATGTTACCTGACAACCCATAATGCACAGGACAGTCCTCCACAACAAAGAATGATATAGCCCCAAAGTGTCAGTAGTGCTGAGACTAAAATATCTTGATCTACAATATAGAATAAAAGAGGCTAAAACATCCGCATGCTAAATTTTACATGCTTTATTCAGTACTGGGTATATAAGGGTACCAGAGATTATGCAAAGGTGAGTCAAAACATTTTAAAATAATTTTTAAAAAACTTTAAAAAACTCAAAAAGCAGAGCACACCAAACACCTCCAAGGGCAAAACCGTTGGTGTATCATCATCCATTTTTCACAAAGCTGACTCCGAAGTAAAGGATAGACAAAGAGATTATTGTATTAAATATGCTTTTTAGAAGGCACGAGGCAAACCCTACATATATCAGAAAGCCTGCACTTAAGAAACAATCCTTTTTTTTTTTTTTTTGAGACATAATCTTGCTCTGTCGCCTAGGCTAAAGTACGGTCGCACAATCTCGGCTGACTGTGATCTCTGCCTCCTATATTCAAGCAATTCTCTTGCCTCAGCCTCCCAAGTAGCTGGGACTATAGGCATGTGCCACCAAGCTCAGTTAATTTTTGTATTTTTTGTAGAGACAGGGTCTCCCTATTTTACCCAGGTTGGCCTCAAACTCATGGCCTCAAGTGATCTGCCCACCTCAGCCTCCCAAAGTGCTGTGATTACAGGCATGAGCCACCACACCCAGCCAAAAACAACAATTCTTAATTGCTGGAATTTATGGGATTCACTTTAATTCGTTGGAAAATTAACACAGGTGAAACATTTAATTACCTACCTCAAGGAGACTGAACCAAAGTATTTTTCTGTAAACCAGTAGCAAAGTGTTACAAATGAATTCAGTCAAAGTGAACATTTCCTACTAGCCTAATGTTAATAATGGCCTCTCCTAGTTCTGAATGATATTATGAGGATGATTAAGTTTCTCAAGTCTGTTAAAATAACTTTTTTCTTCAAGTCTACATTCTAGCCCAAGTCTCTGAAGTAGAGACAGTATTAGTAAATAAAACCGGCCCAAAAAGCAGCTGCCACTTGCTCCAGAGGGGCTTGTCCTTACGCCTTCGCAGTGAAGCACAGCTGAGAAGGCCAGATAAAAAGGTCGGGAGCAAAGCTCAGCCGGGGCTGTAGGAACTGTCCCTGGTGAGGCCTCAGAGCAAACAGCTGAGCGTCCATCCACTCTGGGCTTCCTGCAGGACAGACTGGAGGAGGAGAGACCATAGCAGCTTGAGGGAATCTCACTCTTGACCATGGACTTGCCAGCAGCACTGCTGTCATTTAACCAAAAATGGTGAACCCTGTTGCCTGGGCAACATGGCAAAACCCTGTTTCGACAAAAAATACAAAAATTAGCTGGGTGTGATAGCGTACACCTGTAGTCCCTGCTACTCGGAAGACTGAGATAGGAGGATCATTTGGGCCCAGGAGGCAGAGGTTGCAGTGAGCCAAGATTGTGCCACTGCACTCAGCCTGGGTGACAGAGCAAGAGCTTTTCTCAAAAAAAAAAAAAAGATGTAGTTCTTTTCCACATCTACCTTCACAGCCCCCTGAACCAACCCAGGTTGAGAAGGCCTGATTTAGAGCACTGCGTTCAGGAGTAGCCAGGCAGGGCATTCACATCTGCTTTTCCACTTTTTTTTCCTGCCTTCTACTAGTTAAGAAGAAAAACAATTGCCTAAAGACTAAAATTGAAAATACCTACAAAGTTACATTTTTGCCAGTTCTACTTAGGATGAATTATGCATGAAAATGTTTCTTAAAAAGATAAAGGAATTCTAAATTAGTGGCTGAGCAAAACATACATATATTCTGGCCACAAAAGGCTAAACAGAATAATTTTCTACTTCAGACAAATCCTGGAAAGCAATTGTGGTGGAAAGATCTTTAAGGTATCCACCCCAAAATTCTCACCTCCTGGTCTCTGTGCTTTTGTATAATCCCTTCCCCTTGAGAGCAGACAGAACCTGTGATTTGCTTCTAACAGACTATGGCAAAGGTGATGGAATGCCACTTGTCTGAGCTGACTGGAGAGAGTCACTCTCCTGCTGGCCTTGTAGAAGCCAACAGCCATGCTGCGAATTGCCTATGGAGAAGGCCATGTGGACAGAACTGCAGGAGGCCTCAAAGTTGAGAGCCTCTGTTTCAACATCACAAGAAACTGAATTCTGCAACCAAGTGTTGGACCTCCACAGAGGTCTCCAAGCTCCAGACACCTTGATTGTGGCTTTATGAAACTCTGAGCTGAGGACCCAGCTGAGCCATGTCCAGATTCCTGACCCACAGAAACTGGGAGAGAATAACTGTGTGCTGCTTTAAGCTGCTAAGTTTGTGGTAACTCATTATAGGGCAATAGATAACTAATGCAGCAACCAAGAGAGGGGGTGACCATCCCAGTTTGCTTAGGACTATCTGAAGACTGAAGTTCCATGCCCCAGGAAACTCTCCAGTCCTGAGCAACTCAGGTTAATTAGTTGCCCACCAATAGATAAGTATGAAGAATAGCATGCCATGAATACAAAACAAGAGAAACTTGCCTATGCAAAACAACAGAAAGTTTGAAAAACCCCTTTCTCTTTTTAAAGTTATAAGCAGGCTAGGCGCAGTGGCTCACACCTGTAATCCCAGCACTTTGCGATGCTGAGGGTGGCAGATCACCTGAAGTCAGGAGTTCAAAACCAGCCTGGCCAACATGGCAAAATCCTGTCTTTACTGAAAAATATAAAAATTAGCTGGGCATGGTGGCGGGTGACTATAGTCCCAGCTACTCGGGAGGCTGAGGCAGGAAGAATTGCTTGAACCCAGGAGGCGGAGGTTGCGGTGAGCCAAGCTCACACCACTGCACTCCAGTGTGGGAAACAGAGCAAGACTCTGTCTCAAAAAAAAAAAGTAAGTTATAAATAATTAGCAATACAACTCAGGATTTCCTCAAACCCAACTGTCTACACCCTTAAAATAGGACAACCCCTACTTAGGAGTGTGAAACTAGGACAATGTTCGAATCCACTTGTATTCCTGGTCTTCAGTTGGTAACTTTTTCAATCTCCCTACAGGTTTCCCAACTATTCTAAATCAGTTTTCAAGCCCAGCTATCTCCATGACAGCCAAAGGTTTGACTGTATTGAACCATCATCAGTCTTGCCATTTGACCATAGGTCACAGGTACCTTTTCTGCCCAACTTAAACCCCTGTATGTTTCCATTTCCTTCTGCCTACCCTGGTTCCTTCCTTAAAGATAAGCCCTATGAACCATCTGATGTTTAAGACTTGCTTCAGAATAACAAAGGGGAGAGGGAACAAAGATGGAAATGTAGATGGAATAGAATTAACCATGCACTGATGGTTGTTGAGCCTGAATGGCAAGTGCATCAGGGTTTAATGCATTATTCTATCCACTTATTTGATATTTTCCATTTTAAAAAAGATGACAAAAGGCAGGGCGTGGTGGCTCACACCTGTAATCCCAACACTTTGGGAGGCTGAGGCGGGAGGATAACTTCAGCCCAAGAGTTTGAGACCAGGCTGGGCAATATAATGAGATACTATCTCCACAACAAATTTTTAAAAAGAAAATTAGCCAGGCTTGGTGCTGCACACCTGTATTCCCAGCTACTTGGGAACCTGAGGCAGGAAGATCGTTTGAGCCCGAGAGGTGGAGGCTACAGTGAGCCATAAGCAGACTACTGCACTCCAGTCTGGCTGACAGAGCAAGACCCTATCTCAAAAAAATAAAAGGAAAAAAAAGAAAGCCCATGAAAGTCAATGAATTAGCTCAAACATTCCCTAGCACCCTCCAGAATATAAGTGTGCATTCTGTTGTCTATAAAGGTGTTCTTAATGTTCATACACATTTCGAACAGTCCCCCAGTCATGTGACATTCTATATAAATAAGGAAAAATGCCACCTACTTCCCTTTGGCATAAGGGTCTCTTTACTGCACTGCAACAATGAGTCATTGTAAATGTAACTAATAAAGATTTTTTAAAAGGAAACATAAATGAACTGAAGTTACATGTGTCAACAAGATGAATTCCAAAAACATAACAATGAGAGGAAAAGCAAGTTGCAGAAGGTTACACAGAATACAGCATTCCTTATGTTGAAAAGACATCCAAAACAATACCTTTTTTTAGTGATTTATATATACACAAATATATATATCGATATATACATACAATAAAAGGAGAAAGAAATCTTCAAATCATGCACACCAAATTCAGAACTGTGGTAACCTCCAGGGTAGGGAGGGAGGGGAATGAGACCAGAGAAGGGGACATAGGAAGCTTTCACTCTAGCTGGACTGTTTTACTTCTTATATGGCGTGGTGCATACCAGTTATTTGTTGGGAGACTCTCTAGTTTTGCATGCCTGAAATATTTTATTACAAAAGAGTCGACAAGTAACTATTATGCAGAGGTACTCCTTTTAACCAGGCAATAGTTTGGCTCTGATACTTCCTATATCTACTGGCATTCATTCTCTTTTAGAAAAAAAGGGCCGGGCGTGGTGGCTCACACCTGTAAACCCAGCACTTTGGGAGGCTGAGGTGGGCGGATCACCTGAGGTCAGGAGTTCGAGACCAGCCTGGCCAACATGGTGAAACCCTGTCTCTACTAAAAATACAAAAAAAATAGTGAGGCGTGGTGGCATGCACCTGCAGTCCCAGCTACTCGGGGGGAGGAGGTGCTGAGGCAGGATAAGTGCTTAGACTGGGGAGGCAGCGGTTGCAGTGAGCCGAGATTGCACCATTGCACTCCAGTCTGGGGGAAAAGAGTAAGACTTCGTCTCAAAAAAAAAAAAAAAAAGAAAGAAAGAAAAAACACTGTTAATCTAAAACAGCATATAGTTAGTCGTAGTTACTGAGGGTTTTTTTTTTTTTTTGTGGGCTTTTTTTGTTTTTGTTTTGTTGGGGTTTTTTTGAGATGGAGTTTTGCTCTTGTTCCCCAGGCTGGAGTGCAGTGGTGTGATCTCAGCTCACTGCAACATCCACCTCTTGGGTTCAAGCAATTCTGCCTCAGCCTCCCGAGTCGTTGGGATTACAGGCACGCACCACCACGTCCAGCTAATTTCTGTGTTTTTAGTAGAGGCGGGGTTTCACCATGTTGGCCAGGCTGGTTTCAAACACCTGACCTCAGTTGATCCACCCACCTCAGCTTCCCAACGTGCTAGGATTACAGGTATGAGCCACTGTGTCCAGCCCCTAGTTACTGTTTTAATACGCTGGCCTCTATTTCCTTAAAGTAGAGTTACAAAATGATATGATCTAAAGATATAAAAATATAAAGTTGTTTCATTTACATTTTTAAAAAAATAGTTCTGGCTAATAATCTAGCAATGAGCAAAAGTTCACAAGAATTTGTCTTTTACCTATAATTTTCTTTAATTATTAAAGAGTTGGTTCAAAGAATCAGAAGAGAGCCTTCAGAAAGGACTTCTTCCCAAAGGTGAGGGCATGCACACAGATTTTTTTCATATTCCCTACTTCTCACAGCTTTGTTTTACTTATTTGCCTCAATCAAAGCTGCTTAAACAACCAGACAACACTTACTGTTGTTTTTTAACCATCAGTGATTTCCCTTGATATGGAAGCTGTGTTTTATAATTATTCCCCTTAATGTCCAAGAATTGACTATCATGAAAATGAAAACCAACATAGACAAAGCTGGAAACCATCATTCTCAGCAAACTAACAGAAAACCAAACACCACATGTCTCACTCATAAGTGGGAGCTGAACAATGAGAACACATGGACACAAGGAGGGGAACATCACACACTGGGGCCTGTCATTGGGTAGGGGGGAGGCTAGGGGAAGGATAGCATTAGGAGAAATACCTAATGTAGATGATGGGTTGATGGGTACACCAAACCATCATGGCACGTGTATACCTATGTAACAAACCTGCACATTCTGCACATGTATCCCAGAACTTAAAGTATAACAAAAAAATTTAATACAGATGAGATCGGGAGCATATGTGTATAATTACCTAAGTCATGTATGTTTTACATAAGCATAGAAAGAAATGTAAAGAGATATGCACCAAATTGACCTTATATACTCTTCTGTTACTTGGCTTTGAAAAAATAATGTTCTCATTTTTGAATTTTAAAAGAAAACTCCAATAAAATGTATATATGTTTAAAATTTTTTAAGAAAATGAAAACTAATTTTAATGATGACTTGGAATATGCACAGCATTCCCAGAGACTAAGACACTATTCTAAAAGACAGATATTTTAAAGCAGTCTATATAGTTTGTTAATTCATTACATCAAATACAAAACTTGCTGCTTTAAGGTAGATATTTTATTTTTTAATGAGACAGGGTCTGACTCTCTCACCCAGGCTGGAGTGCAGTGGTGTCATAATGGCTCATTGCAGCGTCAAACTCCTAGGCTCAAGGGATCCTCCCACCTCAGCCTCCAGAATATCCGGAACTACAGGTGTACCCCAGAGAGAATTAAGTAGGGTGTGTGTGTGTGTGTGTGTGTGTGTGTGTGTGTAGATGGGGTTTTGCCATCTGGCTCAAGCAATCTTCCAGTCTCAGACTCCCAAAGTGCTTGGATTTACAGGCACGAGCTACTGGGCCCGGCCATAGCCTATTTTAAAAGGTCTTTTGGTCTCTCTACAGAGTATTTATTTCCCTGTGCTGACCTATTTTAAGAGCAGGATTCTAGCACTAGGTGGAAAATGACAGAATGGAACACTTTTAAACTAGAAAAAGAAAATATGTCTAAGAACAGGTAAATGGTTTTGTTTAATATTTCAAGACAGAGCTACAAATGTTAGAGTGATTGATTTCCCAGGTTATAAAGTATTTTGTTGGTATTCAAAGACCCACATTTTACTAGAAAGCATGGCATGTGATGAGAATCAGGTCTGGGTTTGACACATATTTGGTTTGCGTTTGACAGCCTTACTTTACTTAATTTTGAGACAGGGTCTTGCTCTGTTGCCTAGGCTGGAGAGCAATGGTGTGATCATAGCTTGCTATAACCTTAAACTCCCCAGCTCAAGGAATTCTCCTGCCTCCGCCTCCAGAGTAGCTAGGACTACAGGTGCAAGTCACCTTGCCTGGCTATTTTATTTTATTTTTTGTAGATAAAAACAGGGTCTTGCTATGTTATCCAGGCTGGTCTCAAACTCCTGGCCTCAAGCAATCCTCCCATCCTTGGCCTCCCAAAGCATTGGGACTAGAGGTGTGAGCCACTGCACCCAGCTGATATTTTATTTTTGAATGTTATATTTCAAGTCTTTTCTCAACAACAACAAAAAAAAACTCTGAAGTATAAAACCATTTGCATTGGAACATAAGCTCCATGAAGACAGAGATTTGTGTTGGGTTCACTATTATAACCTCAGCACCTAGGACAGTACCTGACACACATCAGAAACTTACATACGTTTTCCACCTAGTGCTAGAATCCTGCTGTTAAAATCAGTCAGCAAAGGAAAATAAATACTTCGTAAAGAGACCAATTCATTTCTGGTGGAAATGCAAAATGGTACAACCACTTTGGAAGGCAGTTTGGCAGTTTCTTATAAAACTAAATATACTCTTACCATGCAATCTAGCAATCATTCCCCTTGCTATTTATCCAAATGAGTTAAAAGCTTATATCCTGCATGTAACAAAAAAGCCTGCATACAGATGTTTATAACAGCTCTATCCATAATTGCCCAAACTTGGAAGCAACCAAGATACCCTTCAGTAGGTGAATAAACTGTAGTACATCCAGACAATGGAATATTATTCAGCACTATAAAGAAATGAGCCACCAAACCATAAAAAGACATGGAGGAATCTTAAGTGCATATTACTACATGAAAGAAGACAATGTTAAAAGCCTATATACTGTATGACTCCAACTATAGGACAGTAAAAAAAAAATTCAGTGGTTGCCACGTGTTAATGGAGAGGGAGGGATGAATCAGTGGAACACAGATTTTTAGAGCAGTGAAACTATTCTGTATGATACTACAATAGTGGATCCATGTCATTATACATTTTTCCAAACCCAAAGAATGTACAACACCAAGAGTGAGCCCTAATATATAGACTTCAGGGAATAAGGATGTGTCAATGTAGGTTCATCAATTGTAAAAAAACTCTATCATTCTGGTGTGGGATGTTGAGAGTAGGAAAAGCTATGCTTGTGTCAGGACAGGGGATATATGGGTACTCTGCTAAATTTTGCTGTGAACCTAAAACTGCTCTGAAAAAATCGTCTATTAAAAAATATGTTGAGGCTGGGCACGGTGGCTCACACCTGTAATCCCAGCACTTTGGGAGGCTGAGGCAGGTGGATCACCTGAAGTCAGGAGTTTGAGACCAGCCTGGCCAGCATGGTAAAACGCTGACTCTACTAAAAATACAAAACTTAGCTGGATGTGATGGTGGGTGCCTGTAATCCCAGCTACTCAAGAGGCTGAGGCACGAGAATTGCTGGAACCTAGGAGGCAGAGGTTGCAGTGAGCTGAGATCATGCCACTGCACTCCAGCCTGGGCAACAGAGTGAGACTCAGTCTCAAAAAAATAAAAGTTCAGATTTCGTATACATATGCCATATATCTCATACACACATATATGTGTGTGTGTGTATCTCAACTGGGGAAAAAACCCTAAGAGGCTCGCTTCCATAACCAAGTAACAAGTATAGTGGTTTATTTTTACTCCAAGGAGCAAATAAAATCAGGTATTTTTATTAAGCATTTACTTGTAAGACTGCAAGATTCTCACTCTTCCTGGAACATTATTATGGTAATCTTAATTGTATGCTTATTAAGAGGAAAACCTGGTTGTTACCATAGAAAATACCAGGGCTTGTTAGTGCCTCCAAGATTTGAGCAGTTATACCTGTTGGGCCACTTAAATCTCAACTTACAGGTTCCTGATTAACAGGGAAAGGGTAAAAACATCTACATTTGTTTTAAAGAATGGCTAATACACTGATGGGGTGATGGAATTTAAAGTGGATGGAGCATACACTCAGCACCAAGGTGATGAGTGAAAATTAGGTGTTTGCTGGTTGCTGACTTTGACTCTCTTAGGATTACATATCCAGTTTGCCTTCAATGTTCATTTTTACCTGTACCAAGAATACTGAGTTATGGTAATTTTGTTGGATTAAAGGGGGTGATGTGCGTTTGCTTTCATGGGCTGAATAAGGGAGCTTCAAGCTCTGAGAGATTCACTCCAAGCAATCTTGTAGGGATGTCCCCTTTTGTCAGTATTTGAAGCAGTCTTTTGCAAGCAGATTTCAACTGGACATCAAAAACATAATCTTATTCATGCAAAGGCACTGTGCCTTTGGTCTTAAAATCATAGGTACCTCAAGAAAGTATGGGTTCTAACAACAGGCTATCCTTCTTCCCAATCCCTAAGGAGGCATCAACCAACATATTCAGATTTAATATGCCCACCTCCTCTTATAATATCCGATGCATTACTGACAACAAAATAAATTTAATAGGTACCCAGCTGTCACTGCTGTATAGCCTCAGTCAATTATTCCTCTTTCAGCTGGGAAGCAGCTACAGCACTGAATAAACATATTATGCTCGGGAGTATTCTGAGGGCCTCATGTAATAGTCATGGTTTGTGTTTTAAGACACTGACTTTCTCTTTACCTGGTACAGCTCAAGTACTCATCAGCAATGGTAGAACTGTCTACATATCAAGGACTTCTTTAGGGACAAACAGCCATGCTAAGTTCTGTGACTACTAGTTATATTTTCAGAAATCCCAAATTCAGAAAGGTGAATGATTACAAAGTGTCTAAAGTTATGCTCACAAACATATAGCCATATGCACACTCTAGCAGTATAAAACGTAGTCTTAAGTAATTTTTTTAAAAAATACAAACGAACACAATGACATTGCAAGTGGTAAAACCCTCAGATCTCCTTTGAAACTAGATTTTAAAATACCACTCGTCACTCTAAATATTCGACTGGTGTTAATAACATTCATACTATTGCTTTTAGGAAAAGCTTCATTTCACGTTTTGAACCTGATATTAACAATCTTATCACCATGAAGTTCTGGTGACATGAAATGACAGACAAAGGGCTTGTCAAGTAGTCTTTCTCCAAGCTCCAAAGAAAGCAAAAAACAAAAACAGCGTCTGGTATGGCTCATCCCCTAGTCCTTTTCTAGGTATAGAACAGCCAAAAGGTGGTAGCTATGACACCTCTTACTTTTCGATTCTATTTGAAGTCCAAGTAATGATAAGATGGGAAACTACAGCTGTTCCCCATGGTGAACTTCTGAGGTCCACCTCTAGCCTCAAATGGGAAATTTGGCTTTGACTTGACAAACGTCCTCTTGCAGTCCGGTGTCCCTGCTCTGCAACTTGTCATTAAGGTTTTCGATTTAATATTAATATTTACAAATATGTTACGGGCAGTTATATATAGTAGATACATACATATCACAAGCACATAGAGAGGACAATATTCAGCCCTGGGCTCAAACCCTACAGACACACACACCCTTCAAGTTCAAATCCCAGCAAGGCACCCTGAGAGCCCACTCAGGAGAGGGAGGGGCAGGAGCAGCGAGCAGAGGTTAAAACGGACAGCAGCCAAAACAAACACCACTTTCAGAACAGGACAAACTTTAGGTCTGGACGGCTGCAGAACCCCAGAAATGGCCGGGGGAGGGGAGGGAGTATCAGTCTCAGGGAAGGAAAATGGGGAGAGCGCACCCAGCACTGGGCGAGGAGCTGAGCTGCGGAGGAGGCTGGTGTCCCCCGGGGACAAGGGCGTCGCCGCCATCCCTGGCTGCAGAGCCCTCTCTCTCTGAGAACTGGTCGAGGCCTCCGGGTCCCTGGGGGTAGCCCTGCCGCCCCACTCGCAACCTCCACCCCCGCAGACACTATCCCCACAAACCCGCAGGGACAGGAGGCGCAGGGACAGGAGGCGGAGGGACCTACCTGGTGCAGCGTCTCGGCGGGCAGCTGCGACGCCCGAAACAGGTCAGCCACCGGGCCAGCGGCCGCAGTAACCGTGCCAGGGGCGACTCTGGCGGCCTCGGGGGGCCCAGGCCCGGGGCCCCCGCCCGCGGCGCCGGCACAGCGCGCGAAGAGCTCGGAGTAGCATTGCTGTTCGCCCTCACTCAACAGCAGCGGCGGCGGCCCGGAGCCGCAGCCCCCACCCGCCGCCGCCGCCGCTGCCGCCTCCATGGGGCCTGCAAAGGGGAGCGGCGGAGCCCTGTCCCTAGCTGGGGTGCCGCTGTGTCCGCCACAGCCACCGCCACCTTGGCCTCAGCCACCGCCGCCGCCGCCCCCACGCCCCGCAGCTGCCGCGCTGCCGCTTCCTCCGGGAGCCCGCGGGCCCCGCCCCCGGGCTTGAATGTTGTGCCTCAGCCGCGCGGCACATGGAGACAGGCGCGGCGCGGCCCAATCACAGCCTGGGATCTCACCCGGGCCCCGCCCCCGCCTAACGCCTGCCCCGCCCAGCGCCAGGTAACTAACCCAGCCGCCCGCCCTCCGCCCTTCACCTGCTCCACCGCCCAGGGAAGGCGGGTCCGGTGCCTTTCCAAGCCTACACTTCAAGTGAGCGGAGTCTTTGGCCATACGCCCTGGTTAGGAAGGGGGCATCTAGACCCAACCGGAGAATAGCACTTTTCGGGGAGCGGGGAAGGCTGTGATGTTTTCTCGCTTAAAGGCTGTGGCAGGTGTGGTGACCACACCACGCCGTGCCCTTTCCAGGAAAGGGACAAGGCATGGGAAATTAGGTTTCTTTCTTCCACAGCAGTACTGCTCACGTCCTAAAGAGCTAGAAGACACAGACGTCTGTCCAAACAGGGTCCCACTGACCCCAGAGTGTTCGGGGTGGTATAGGAGTTAGGCCACCTCCTCAGACCTGGCTCAAACCAGGAGTTGAGAATAATGTTCGTTACTCGTAAGTACTAGAGTAGTAAGAGTATAAAAAGACCCATTTTGCAGATCATCTGGTCCAAACTCTGCTTTTACAGATGAGGAAACTGCCGTGTTCACGTTCATTCCTCCAATACTAGTTGAATATCTAGTATGTAGCAGATTTAGATGCTAGGGCCCGAAAATACAAACCTCGGTAACACAGGATCCTCACTCTCCAAAGGAAGCACTTCTTTTGGTGGTAAAACAGTCATTTTTTGTAAGTACAAAACTTGTTCAAGCTCACGCCCAAAATCAATATGAGAACTCACATCTTTCCACCCCTGCCCATGTCGTCTCTCTCCTTTCCTTCCTATCCTAAAGTATACACACTGTTTTTCAAATGTGCTTGCTTCCACCACAAGAAAAAAGTGGCCAGTACTCTAGCCACTTTTTTTTTTTTTGAGAGGGAGTTTCTCACTTGTTGCCCAGGAGGGACGATGGCACAGTCTCGACTCACTGCAACCTCCACCTCCAGGTTCAAGCGGTTCTCCTGCCTCAGCCTCCTGAGTAGCTGGAATTATAGATGCCTGCCAACAGGGTTTCACCATGTTGGTTAGGCTGATCTCGAACTCCTGACCTCAGATGATCCATCCCCCTTGGCCTCCCAAAGTGCTGGGATTAAAAGTGCTACTTTTAAAAGAAAGTTCAGGCTGGGTGCAGTGGCCCACGCCTGTAATCCCACCACTTTGGGAGGCTGGGGCAGGCAGATCACTCGAGTCTAGGAATTCAAGATGAGCCTGGCCAACATGGTAAAATCTCATATCTACTAACAATACAATAATTACCTGGCCATGGTGGCACGTGCCTGTAGTCCCATCTGCTTGGGAGGCTGAGACAGGAGAATCACTTGAATCCAGGAGACAGAGGTTACAGTAAGGCAAGATCATACCACTGCACTCCAGCCTGGGCGACAGAGCGAGACTCCATCTCAAAGAGAGAGAGAGAGAGAGAGAGAGAGATTTACCCATGCATCTGTTGATGGATGCTTAGGTTGATTCATATCTTGGCTATTGTGAATAATGCTGCAATAAACATGGGGGTGCAGGTATCTCTTTGATTACAGAGAAAGAGAGAGAGAACACAAAAACACAGAAAGGCATCGCATGCTCATGGATTGGAAGAATTACTATTGTTAATATTACCATACTACCCAAAGCAATCTACAGATTCAATGTGATCCCTATCAAAATGGCAATGACATTCTTCACAAAAATAGAAAAAAAATCATAAAATTTGTATAAAACCACAAAAGACCCTGAATAGCCAAAGCAATCCTGAGCAAAAAGAACAAAGCTGGAGGTATCACACTACCTGACTTCAAAATATACTACAAGCCATAGTAACCAAAACAGCATGGTACTGACGTAAAAAGAGACACATAAACCAATAGAAAAGACTGGAGAACCCAGAAATAAACCCACACATTTACAGCCAACTGACTTCCAACAAATGCACCAAGAACATACATTGGGAAAGGACAGTATTTCCAATAAATGGTGCTGGGAAAACTAGATATCCATATGCAGAAAAATAAAACTAAATATCTCTCTCTCTCTCTCTCTCTCTCTCTCTCTCTCTCTCTCTCTCTCTCTCTCTCCTCTCTCTCTCTCTCTCTCCCTCTCACCATATACAAATATCAACTGAAATTGTATTAAAGACTTAATCTTAATCATAAGACCTAAAACTATAAAACTACTGGAAGAAAACATTGGGGAAATGCTTCAGGACATTGGTCTGGACAAGGATTTTATGGCTAAGACCTTGAAAGCACAGGCCAAAAAAACAAAAATAGACAAATGGGACTATATTAAACTGAAAACTTCTTCACAGCAAAGGAAGCATCAACAGAATGAAGAGACAACCTGCTGAATGGGAGAAAATATTTGCAAACTATTCATCCAACAAGAGACTGATATCCAGAATATAAAAGGAACTCAACTCAACAGCAAAAATATATAAATAAATAATAATCCCATTAAAAAGTAGGCAAGGGATCTGCATAAACATTTCTCAAAGGAATACATACAGATAGCCAACAGTATATGAAAAAATGCGCAACATGATTTATTATCAGGAAAATGCAAATAAAAACCACAGTGAGATATTATCTCACTCCATATAAAGAGAAAAGGAAAGTCTCATACACTGTTGAGAATACAGATTAGTATTGCCATTATAGAAAACAGTATGGACATTTCTCAAAAAACTAAAAACAGAACTACTATATGATCCAGCAATTCCACTACCGGGCATTTATTCAAACACAAGGAAATCAGTAATCAAAGTGATACCTGCACCACCATGTTTATTGCAGCACTATTGACAATAACCAAGATACGGATCAACCTAAGTGTCCACAAACAGATGCATGGATAAAGAAAATGTGTTATATATACGAGATGGAATACTACTCAGACATAAAAAAGAATGAAATCCTGTCATTTTGCAGCAACATGGATGGAACTGGAGGTCGTTGTGTTAAGTGAAATAAGCCAGACACAGAAAGACAAATATCACATGTTCTTACTCATGTGTGAGAGCTGAAAAAGTTGATCTCATGGAAGTAGAGTGATAGCTGTCACAGCCTGTGAAGAGTTGGTGGGGGGGATGGAGGGAGATTAGCTAATGGATACAAAAATACAGTTAGAAGGAGTAAAATCTAGTGTTTGATAGCATAGTAAGGTGACTATAATTAATAATTTATTGTATATTTCTTTTTTTCTTTTGAGACAGGGTCTCTATCTGTCACCCAGGCTGGAGTGCAATGGTGCAACCACAGCTCATTGCAGCCTAAACTTCCTGGGCTCCAACAATTCTCCTGCCTCAGCCTTCTGAGTTGCTAGGATATAGGTGTGCACCACCAGGCCCAGCTAATTTTTTTTGTTTTTTATAAAGACAAGGTCTCGCTATGTTGCCCAGGCTAGCCCACTCCTAGGACTCAAGTGATACACCTGCCTCAGCCTCCTGAAGTGCTAGGATTACAGGCATGAGCCACCATGTCCAGCCTGCTGTACATTTCAAAATACCTAGAATATTTGAAATGTTCCCAACACAAAGAAATGGTAGATGATGGATATGCCAGTTATTCCGGTTTGATCATTACACGTTGTATACATGTATCAAAATATCACATATACCCCATAAATATGTACAATTATTATGTATCAAAAAATGTTAATACATCTTAGAATTTGCTTTCTTAAAGGGATATATATAACTTTCACCCCAAATAGTTTTATTTTTATTAAAAACAGTAAACAAACAACACCTCAAGAAATACTGCTGATGATAAATATACTTTGGTATATGGCCAACTAAAGGACCAAGGTCAGGATGAGAGAAGAGGAAAAAATCATGAAATTGTAAATACAAAAAGAAGGAAAGGAAAGGGGAAGAGAAGGAAGAGAGATACATAAGAAGAAGAAAAATAAAAAATGATGTCAACCAGAGTAACATTTCCGTTTTGGAATCTGGAGAAATGGAACAGAGAAGAGGATCTTCTCCAGAAGGAAGAAGTTCTCACCTCTTCACTAAGCTTTTCAGAAAGGATACGTAAATTAGGAGCAATAAAAAATAACTTCACTTGGGAATTTCCATTTCAAAATCTCACCACCTGGCCAGGCCTGGTGGCTCATAGGTGCAATCCTAGCACTTTGGGAGGCTGAGGCAGGAGAATCACTTGAGCCCAGGAATTCCAGACCAGCCTGGGTAATGTAATAAGACCCTTCCTCTATTTAAAATTTAAAAAGAAGAAAAGAATTTTAAAAAGGAAAGAAGACCGGGCACAGTGTCTCATGCCTGTAATCCCAGAATTTTGGGAGGCCAAGACAGGCAGATCACTTGAGGCCAGGAGTTTGAGCCAGCCTAGCCAACATGGTGAAATCCTGTCTCTACTAAAAATACAAAAATTAGCTGGGCATAATGGCTCACACCTGTAATTCCAGCTACTCTGGAGGCTGAGGCACAAGAATCGCTTGGACGGAGGAAGAAGTTGCAGTGAGCTGAGTTCACACCAAGGCACTCCCGCCTGGATGACAAAGTGAAACTATCTAAAAAAAAAGAAAAGAAAAGAAATTTCACCACCTTTGTATTTTCCATAGCTGTGATACCTTCTCAGGAAAACTGGAAGCCAGATGTTTATTCTCTTCCTACCTTTCTGGTTGTATTCAGGTTTCCCTGAGAATGGCCCACCATTCTAATAGAGGCTGGAAAGGGGCACACTCTGTGGGATACACACCAAACCCTACTTTACCCGGTGACTACTGTGAAAGAAAATGTGAGGAATAATAATCCCTAACATTCATGCAATGGAGAAAAAAGCTGCAAAGCTTTTCAAAGCACTTTTGTACCCATTACTTCATTTAAGCCTTATAGTAACTCTCTGAGGTAGGTTGGGTTGGGAAGACATTTTTTATCTCCGTTCTGCATATGAAAAAA